TTTTTATATATTGGGGGACTTTTTCTTATTTTATTAGTTAAAAGGATTTATGGATTTTTATTTGGCCTTTTTTTAGCTGAAAAAAGAAGGTTTTAGGAAAAAGAAGACTTCTAATGGGAAGCGTGATTTAAATTTTATTTTTTTTAAATATTATTTACATGTTTTTAGTTCAGTGCTCCCCCCTCACTACTTTCAGCGTGAGAGGTGAAGGCAGGGTTTTATTTTATTGTGTGAAGGGGAGGGTGACTAGGGGCTTGGAGACCCCTAGTCACTGGGGGGTGACTAGGGGCTTGGGGAGGGGTATTTTTTTTTTTAATTAAGCCCCACCTGTCGCTAATAGGTGGGAGCTGGAGGGGATACTATGTCTTCCCTTTATTGTCAATGAGGAGCTCCCTCCTACCGCTCATGAGTGGGGGGAGAGAGGGGGGGTGCAGTAGGTTCCACCCCTTTGCCACTTAGGGCCTCTCAAGGGTGGGGGGAGGCAGTAGGTTTCCCCTCCCGGTTTTGTCACTTAAGGCCCCTCCAGCTGCTCAGTGGTGAGGACCGGGCGGAGGCAGTATGTGTGTGTGTCCCTTTGCCACTTAGGGCCCCTCCGGTCGCACATTGGTGGGGACCGGGGGGGAGTTGGATTGTCCCCCCTTTAATTAGAGAAATAGAGCGGACTTAAGCTCCTCCTTTGGTCAAAGAAGGTCAAGCGTAAGAAAAATACACAAGACAAATAGTCCCTACTTTGTCTTATGTTTTAAAGGAAACTAGACAAGATAGGAAGAAAAGAAGAACAGATTCTGAGAGAGGAAAAGAAGAGAAACAATAGGAAAAGGCTTTGGCGTGATAGTGCCGCTTTAAACATCTATTATTAAAGGGACACTATAGGCACCCAGACCACTTTAGTTCCTTATCCCTGCAAAGGTTTAATAAACTGCAATAATAACCTTTGAGGATTAATTCAAACCTCTAGTGGCCAAATTAAATAACTGTTGAAACAACGCTCTTCGTCTCAGGATCACTGTATGTAACTGGGTTATTGTATGTTAATGCAGGCATCCCAACATGCAAAAACTAATTTTAGAGGTGGCTGCTTCTCCCACCTCCCATGTGCGACCCCACACAGAGCATACCACTTCCTCCCAGCCGGCAGATGCTGCAGGGGCCCGGTCAGACTCTTAAATGACCGGGCACCCGACCAGGCCCCTGTTCAAGAACAGTACACATCAGTTGGGTAATGAGTAGGGGGCATTTATATAAGGGCATTTATAATGTGTAATGTCCTGAAAATCAAACACACACAATCTGACATACTTTGTGTGTCAGATTGTGTGTGTGATTTCTGTGATATTACACATTGAATGCAGGTGTCCAGGAACCACATTAAATATGCGGAAGTCTCCCGGACCTACCAGGAGACTTGGGATGTCTGTTAATGTTTTTATGTTTATTTTATTTCTTATATTTGTAATAAGGTCTTTAAAAAATATATATATATATATATATATATAAAAAAAAAAAAAAAAAAGTGGAAGCAAATGAGCATTTTCAACAAAAAGCAGGTACAGCTGGGCTTGGCAGCAATCCTTCAAAATGAATTTGTTCCAGCTAATCTACAGATACATTTTCATATGGGCTATGTTGGCCCAGAATTTGCAATTTTCTTGACAATTTCCCACAATTCCAAGTTTAGTGAATAGGTATAAATGTATGTTGTTATGTAACTGTTCTCCATTTCCTTTAAATTAGAGATTGCCAACTCAATTTAGAGCTATAGAGATGTCTTCAGATCATTGCTAGTCTGTGGAAAATATGCAAACTCCTTGAAAGTGAAGTATAGTCATCTTTTTTTCACTCTCCTACTTGTTTGACTACATTTATTAAAGGAACACTATAGGGTCAGGAACACAAACGTATTCCTGACCCTATAGTGTTAAAACCACCATCTAGCCCCATGCTGCCATGTTTGATCAGGAAAATAAATTCTTGCCTCCCTAAATATAGTAAAACCTTACTTGAATTCAAGTCTGCAGCTGCTGCCACTGCCCCTGATCTGCCTGCTTTCAGCTGTCATCAGAAGTGATTCTGTAAAGCCAATCACAATGCTTTCCCATAGGATTGGCTGAGACTGTCAAGGAGGCAAATCAGGGGCAGAGCCAGCACAAGTCAAATATAGCTGTGGCCAAATCAGCATCTCCTCATAGAGATGAATTGAATCAATGCATCTTTATGAGGAAAGTTCAGTGTCTGTCTGTAGAGGGTGAAGACACTGAATGGCAGTACTGCACACTTTTCAGCACTGCCCCTGGAAGCAACTTTAGCAGCGTTCTGAGGAGTGGCCAGTGGAGGTATCCCTATACTAAAATGTAAACGCTGCATTTTCTCTGAAAAGATAGTGTTTACGGTAAAAAGCCTGAAGGTAATGATAATACTCACTAAAACAAATACAAAAAGCTGTAGTTTTTCTGGTGACTATAGTGTCCCTTTAATAACATATTATCAAACTATTGAATCAGTAATGATACCGTTAGCTTGTCAGCAGTGTCCAAAGCTGTCTTGAGATCTGGATGTTATTAGATTGTAAGCACGTCCGAGCAGGACCCTGTTCACCTCTTGTCTCCATCAATATTATTTTGTAGGTCAGTTACTTGTCATCAAATATCGATATTCTATAATTCTAATGCTGTAACGCAAACATGTTGGCTCTATAAATGTTAATAATAAAATAATAATAAAAATATTGACCAAAAAGAAAATCTAAGCCTGCTAAACCAGACTCTTGCCAAACTGATATGAAGGACAGGAAAAAAGACTGCCTGATGGGGATGGGGTGGATTTGTTTATACCATTTTTTTAAAATTACATTTCCTATCCTTTCTGCCGTGAGGGGAGAAAGTAACCCGTGAGTAAATGCTGCCATGTTTGATCAGGAAAATAAAATTACATTAAAAATCCATACGTTGGTTTAGTAGAATTTCAAGCAAATGCATAGATTTTCATTTGAATCTAAGTAAAAATATGGTTTCTCACATGTCACTCAGTTGTAAGCTTAGACCTCTATGCCGACAAATGAGTGACAGCGGCAAACACAAGAGCCTTCCTACAGGAAGTTTTTCTGCCCTCCGTCGCAGCACTATTGGAAAATAAAGGAACAAAATTACTGTTGTACTCCGTTCTGATGCTGTGGCATTTAAGCTAGCATGTTGTTATTGATAAGGAGGATTTCCCTGTCACAGAGAGGCAGCAGCAAGATATTAATGGAGGGTTGGTGTCACATTAATTTAAAATCCACAGCCCTCCAACTGTAGCGCTTTTGGATACTAGAGGGGAGGTACATAAAAACCCACAGGCCTTCTTTGCCACAAGTCCCCTATTAAAAACTTATAATAAATCCTGCTTTAATATTACAAGTATACATACAGCTCATTTACTGAGCATACTGCCTAATCTGAATTTATAAAGGTCAAGCAATAAAAACACTTTTTTGCCTTTAGTTTTAGTTTACATGATTTCCCTAAGTGCCATCTTGTATACGCATTCTTGTGCACCGCCTTTATCATCTTATATTCCTGTTACTTAAGACGGGATACATTTTTTTCTAGGCCATCTATTAACTCAGAGTAAGAGAAGAAAATGAATGTCTTAACATTTCCTCAAAAATGCTCCTTTTTTATGTATTTTTAATTCTTTTTCACCACAGGTTGGGTTGCTGTTACTGCTCACACTGGACAACACTTAGACCTTCGCTGTTACACACCGAAAGGAACAAGTTTAATAATTAGGAGACCACCTCTTTTACCAATGATTGTTAACATTAAAGGAGAAAGAATAAGGAAAACTCCTGCATATGCAACAAAGAAGCTGAGCTGTGTTGTAAAAAACATTAAATAATAATTTTATGCTTACAGATCTGTAATAAAATGTAAGTATCTACGTGTATAAAGCAAACATAGTTTAGCTATATATGCTTTTGTGTATCCGTATAAATTGTATAGAGAACTGTCAACATATAAATCTACGGTTTGTTTTTTCTTTCTTTTTTCAGCTGTAATGGAATCTGATAAATTAATCAATGATATCCCTACAATTAGTTTTTCAGTGATTTGGGAATGTGACTTCCCTCAGGGGTTGGGAGAAGTTAAGTAGTATAGTAATTAGAATTTAAAACCAAATAAACATTTGTAGAAAGCAGGCACATCAGGGAATCTTTACTATCCGTATTGTGAGAGATTGTTTGAACCATTGTGTCACCAACCCAGCCAAAACTATTTGGTATGTTACATTTTATTGTGATTTTTCCCAAATGTGTCATTTTGTGGATAATCATCACAGACCATGCACGCCCCACTACTGAAAAGACCCCTGAAACTGCTGCTGCTGCCGAGTACGGCAATCCCTGATATGTATACCTTTGCCAGGTATGGTGGCCACTGATAGGTCACATTAGAGACCTGCCCCACCCTGATTGTAGCCCTCGATTTAGATTGACCCCAGGATGACCGAACATCAAGGTAGCCAATGACATTGATGTTTTGCCCTACCTGATAATAAATTAAAAGACACCCCAGGCACTCAACAAAATTAATTTAACAGCTTTGTAATGAAGCATTATATAGGGCAGCGTTTCGGTCACCATCTCTGACGTTTATCACTCCATACCAAACATTGCAATCATCGGTGTTTAAATACCATAAAGAATTATGTGATGTGAATAAATATTTGTTACAACACAGGTGTTTAAAATCAACAATTTTGATACATCAGATGTGTGGAGAAAAAAGGGGGAATTCCACTCTGGTAAACAAAAATCAAATTACAAATAATAATACAGAGCTAACTAATGTAATGTATTTACAATGACTTGGTAGAATTTAAAAGCCGTAGTAACTCCTGAAGGCTGGTTAGGAGTAAACAAAGTATCTAAAGTAAAAAGTAAGCTTTATTGTAATCAATATATAAAAAGATACAATTGATCACCATTGCCTATCCAGCGAGCATTGGGCAGGTGATCCCCTGTGATACTTTATAGCCTTTATGCAGTAGCAATACAGGATCTGGACGTTTCAATATAATTATACATAGGGATTGCACTGTCAAGGTTTTTTCCAGGGGGTCTTTTAGCCACATCTTTATAGGCAACTGCCCAGTGCTCACTGGATAGGCACTGTGGATCATTTGTATCTTTTTATAAATTATGTATTTTTTTAAGATGCTTAGTTTTGACAACATTCGAATGAGCAGTAGGCACATGACAAAAGCCTATTAGGTACATTGAAACAAAACGTTGAGTCATTTACTAAGAACATGCAGTACAGCAGTGTTTAACAGCATCATTTTTTTTTATGGTCCAAGCTTTTAATTGGTTGGGGACTGAGGGAGCTCTGGTATGAGCCGTGCATGGTGTTTAGGACTTGTGCCCTAGGATGGCTCAAGTATATGTGTGGAGGTCTAAAGGCACAATATCATATATATTATGTCATGCTGGCATCAGGCTAGGAAAGTGGGTGCACGTTATGTTAAGTGTGAGCTTATGTGCTGTAGATAACAATTAGGTGGGTGAAAGGGGTATGCATCCATGCTCATAGCCCCTGACAAAAGGGGGGTGGGGGGTAGGTGTAACGTCATATGATGTCAGCTTATATGCGTGTCTGCCTGAAAAGCCTTTGTGGTTTGCAGGGCTCGTGCCTGTGAGGGCACTGTAAGGCATTCCCAGTGACGAGCAAAATATATACTACAAAATTAAACCATCTATGAACACAAACAAAATCAGGTTTTTTCTCTGAGGGTGTCCCGTGTGAATGTTCCCAGTGCAGTCATGGTGTTGGGATAAAAGTTGTGATGGAAGCGGGGTCCCAGGATTCCGCCAGTTTTCCTTCTTTGAGGTTTAAAGTGTGTTCAGGTGTGATAGTCCCAATGCTCCCAGGAAATTATGAGCTTCTCCCATATATGATAGTACATGCACAGTCCCATTTAGATTCACTGCTAATGAGCCATTCATACCATGGCGTATGCTATCCCCGCGCTTCTCAGCTGGGTCGTGACCGGTCCAAAGGATTTGCGCATCAGGAGAGTGTCCCTCGTGAGGTCCTGGTAGAATGTAAGCGTTGAATTCTCGAAAGTGAGTGGTGCCTTGCCCTTCAGTGCCAACATTATTTGGATTTTGTCCAACAAGTTGATGCATCTGAGAATGACATCACATATGGAGGGTGTCGTGCGAAGAGTAGGGCTTGGGAGACGGTACACACTGTCAATATTCATTTTTTTGGCCACAGCGTGAGGCAGGGTAGTAGCCAGTATTCTTCTGATATATTGTGGAAGTTCTTCTGCGGTGACCACTGAGGGGATGCCCCTTATCTTAATATTCGTGCATCTCTGCCGGTCTTTGAGTGTTGAGTCTGAGTGACAGGGTTTGGTTTTGAGCTTGGAGCACTTGCATAGAGTTATCCATGTTGGTTAGGCGATTTTGTACTTCCATCACATCTTCCTCCGTAACTCTAACCAGTGGTGTATCCTGGTTTTGTGCTGCCCTTTTTTTGCAGCCCCCAAGAAAATGCCGCCCAAGGGAAATGCCTTGTTTGCCTCGTGGCTTATACGTCCCTGACTAACTCTTTCAGTGACTGCCTGTACCTCTGTTTTAAGTAGTGTGGAGTCCGTTGCCAGTAGTTTGTGGATGTCCGCCAAGAGGAGTTTTAAGTCCCACTTAGTGGTAGGTGCTGATAGCTCTTGTGGCTCAGCTTGAGATATGGGTGAGCGTTGTGAGCCTTCTGGTCTGTCACGGCCTGTTACAGTGCGTGATTACCCGTCCTGCGTATCTTCTGCGGGAGTGGATTTAGGTTGGGCGGGCCTTTGCAACATGGCCCCTATATCCCGTCCCTCCACCGGGGTTTGGGTTTTTTTGAGGGCGCTTTCCCTTGCCTGGCATGTGTGCTGGTGAAGCTGGCGGTGTTGGGGAGTGTGGACTCACGGCTCAGTTCGCGGCAATGCCTCACAGGATATCTTCCAGGCCTTGAAGTGTGCGGTAGGCCCCAGGCCTGTGCTCCCTCTGGGCTGATTTCGGTGCCTGAAAGAAAGGCATCGATCAGTTCCCCTTGCCCTTCTGAATCTGGCTGGGTATGTATGGAGGCTGGATTGTGCTCAGGGTGGCTGATATTAGCAGGATTAGGTGAGAAATTGAGGAGCTGTTGGAAATGGCGTCTGGTCAGTGGACAAGCTCCACCCCTCATATTTTTTTATATATTTATTACAATAAAGCTTACTTTTTACTTTAGATACTTTGTTTTCTCCTGACTAGCCTTCTGGAGTTATTATGGGGGTTTAAATTCTACCAAGTCATTGCACGCTAGTTAGCTTTGTATTATTATTTGTAATTTGATTTTTGTTTACCAGAGTGTAATCTTTAGCTTTTCCTCTGGTTTGGGATTCCCCCTTTTTTCTCCAAACAGCATTACTCCTAGGGTTCAAGCCCAGGGTGGACCTGGTAACACCCATACTGACCTCTCTGTTCTAAGTTCACCTTGAACTTTGCAACATTGTTTTCTCTTCTTCGAATCATTGATACATCAGATACCTGGCTCAAATGTCTATTCCTTACTGTCATGGCTGCCGCCGCCACCACCACCACCACCACATTTAAAAAGGCTGTTAATTTTTTTAAGAAGTGAGCAGTGAGTGGCAGCGGATTTTTGTTTACTGAACCTTTTACACTTTAGCGGAACGCTGGTCTCTCACGGACTATTTCCGCTGGTAGTCCAGGTGTGGCTCAGGAACAAGTAATAAATCCCATAGACTAGCAGGCACAATCAATAAGACAATCCAATAATCCCATCACCTTTCCCAATAACTGGACGACACACAGTATCAGGAGTAGAACTTAACTAACTTTTAATCACACAACCCCTGCTTTTATGCAATGCTCCCGTGCAAGGGAGCCACCTACAATAATTAGTACATTAACCAATAAAGTACAAGGTACAACCCACACATCTCCTCCCATCAGCTTATCTGTTAACAGAATTAAAATGTACATATTTTCCCCAAGTTCTAGATGTACCCCTAATACATAAGATACACCCCAGATCGGACCAGGGGTTTGGGAGTTATGGGCAAGTAAAGTTTTGACCGACCGCACAGGCAACAGTATCCGAAAATAGTTCCATAAGTTTTGGCCTTGCGGTCGGTCTCCGTTCGTGGAATAAAAGTCCCAAAAGGCTTGCCATCCATAGCTATGCTGGCATACGTGTGAATCCCCTTGTTAGTAGGAGTCTTTCTACCGAGGAGGCTTGTTCGGTAGTTCCAGCCCAAAGAAATGGAAGTCTGGAGGTCTCAGCGGTGTTTGCTTAGTCGAGTGTCAGATTTTAGTTCCAGACACTCAACGGCAAAACACTGCTGTTCGGGAGATTAAAATGGCCGCTGCCACGTGTTAAACTCCTGAAATGGCAGCCACCCAGGGACTTAACAGAACGTTCGTGAGTTTCCACTTAAGAGGTAATAAAACTAATTGGGAGGTTGATTGAAGCCACAATTTATATCAGGGTGGTCTGGTGTTCGGTAGACACTGCCATCCTCCAATAGAGCTTTTTTTTTTAAAACACACAGTTTTGCAGACAGCTCAATGTCCATTGCTGCATAAGTTATATAGTCGAAGTCTCTGCAATATTATATGTCCTTGGCTGGTTCTTAAAGGGCCAGTAGTGCCACACAAAATCCTATTAAGCCCAGCCATTGTATTTAAAGGGCTACATCTTCCAGGGACCATAATCACTGGGCAGGAGGTGGGCAAGCAGCCCCCTCCAAGAACTCAGGGCAAACTCCTTTAAAGTGGCGAGCTTGACACACACACACACACTCTCTCTCACTTTCTGGTTTCTCTGTCACATATAAATTAAATCACACAGGCATTTCAGTAGTTAGATAACGTGTTCAGGTGCAGCGATGTTGATCTTGTTACGGCAGGCACCGGGTGGTTGAAACGGTGACTGCCTTAATAAGACAGACACCTGAGGTAGGGAAGCAGCTTGGAAGAGCCTCAGCATGGCAGCAGGCACCCAATAAAAGTGGTGCCTGTTGCCATTGCTAGTGAGTAAAAAAACCGCAGCTGTTGCTATTATGGAGGTGAGAGAGTTGGTCAGCTCGGCGGCAGGCACCCGATGGTAAAGGAATGCCTGCCACCAATCTTGGTTAAAAGTGCAGCCTGCTTCAGACCTGATGCGGCTGCACCGGACGTGACTTGGGTCAAGATTTCTGATGGGTCCAGAATCAGACAGAACACTGGATGAAGGTGCTGTCTCACCATGAGACACAGAGCTGGCGCTCCTATATGGCTGCACAGGTGGCCGCCTTAGGGCACACTGGCCCGAAGGGTGCATTGTCCAAGTGACTGGCAGTAGGGGAGTGAACAGCGCTCCTCTCAATCGATGTAGCATGGCCAAACTTTCGTGTGGCCCACAGATGCAAGTGCCACCGCTAAAAAAGTATTTCTACACTGAACCTCTGTTCATTTTAGGAAGGGTATCTCTCATATACACTGATCAGCTACAACATTAAAACCACCTGCCTAATAGGTCCCCCTCGTATTAAGGCTTGAACTCCAAGATCTCCGAACATGTCCTGTGGTATCTGACACCAATACATTAGCAGCAGATCCTCCTGCAAGGTGAGAGATGGGGCCTCCATGGATCGGATTTGTTATTCCAGCACATGCCCCAGATGTTCAATGAAATTGAGGTCTCTGAGAATTTGCAGGCCAAGACAACACCTTGAACGGTTTATCAAGTTCCTCAAACCATCCTTGAACAATGTTTGCAATGTGGCAGGGTGCATTATTAAAGATCAAAGAGGACACTGCCATTAGGAAACGCCAATGCCAAGGAGGGGTTTAAGTGACCTGCAACAATCTGTAAATAGGTGGTGTGTTTCAAAGTAATATCCCATAAATGCTAGCACCCAAATTTTCCCAACAAAACATTTCCCTGAGCGTAGCACTGTATCTGCCAGCCTGCCTATCAGGGCCCCTGTGTCACGGCTTACCTTAGTGGGAGTCCGGTATGCAGAGCTATGCTCACCCTTGCAATTAAACACAGACCAAGGTGATCAGATAAGAACCCACCTGGTCTGTGAGTCTGTGCACGGGGGAGCAGGATAATGCTCCAAGTCCCAGTACTGGTATGGACATAAGCAGGAGAATCGTCGTGGGTAAGCCAAAAGTCAGAGGGTGCCAGATGTCAGGATAAACAAGGGTAAGCCAAAGTCAGAGGATGCCAGAAGTCAGGATACACGAATAACAAGCCAAGGCCAGAAGCCAACTGGAGAACACAAACACCAATACAGGAACCAGAGTCAATGAACTGACAGCCCTCAGAGAGAGGCAGTGTTTTATACCTGGCTGATTAGACATACTATACAGCTGGACCATGATTGACAGGAGCAGTCACAGGTAAGTCCAGCCCCCAGTGCCGGAGACATGGCAAGGATAAGTTTCAAGCCAAGCCAAGAACAGAAGTGGCTCAAAGGCAGGAATACTGGCTGAGAACCATAAAGCACCCAGGTTCAAATCCCTTGTTGGGCACTTATGGGACGACCTCATCTGGCAGTCTGGATTTCATGACAAGAACCGTGACATCCTGGTGCTCGTATTGACGCTTCCGCGTCTGATTAGTGTGGTCGTAATGATACTGTATCTGCGCCCAAGTCAGCGCGGCTGCGCTGAGTCATGTTTTAACCAATTACTACACAGAAAGTCATATTTAAACCCTGACTAGCCTTTTCTCAGTGCCCTGTCATGGTTTCCACTTGTTTGTTGTCTGAGAGTGCGTTCCTGTTCGTTGATATTTGGCTTTGACTTGCATTCGACTTTCGCTACTTCAGGTATCTTGTCTTTTGGCTAGTATTACATTTGGTATCTACTTTTGTATCCCTGACTTCGGCTTGTTTATTGACTATTCTCTTATGTTAAGTTCGGCCATTCTAAGGCCCGGTATACGTTACTTGATTTTTCATAGTTCTGCGTTTTGGGTCATATAGTAGTCATGACACTGCCATCCTCCCATAGAGCATTTTGCTGCCATCTCATCCTGAGGTAAATGATGCTAATGCATCCGTCACTTGATCTAAAAAAAAAAAGAGGGATTTATTGGACCAGACAACCTTGCTCCATGGTCCATTTCTGATGCTCACATGCTCACTAAAGGCAAATTCAGCAATTGAAGGGGCTCACTCTGCCTGCCTGTGGCTGCACAGCCCCATATGCAGCTAACACATTTCTGTCATGGCCAGCATTAACTTTTCTAGCAATTTGAGCTACAGTAGCTCTTCTGTGTAATCTGACCAAACAGAGTTTGCTTCACACGTGCATCAGTGAGCCTTGAGCTCCCGTAATCCTGACACCGGTTCACCGGTTGTCCTCCCTTGCATCATTCTAACAGAGTCGTCAAGTCATCACTATTTGGCCCTTGTTAAAGTCGCTCAGAGAGAACTCTATTAGAAGTGTCTAGAAAACTTAACAAAACAGTAGTAGTGTAGCGTAGAATAAAATAGTGTAGAGATAATTTTTAGGTAAACAACGTTACAACTATAAATGGAAGGAGTGCCAGACAGACACATCTTCTCGGTAGATTGCAAACTATTTACAATCCGTTATGAATTGATGTCTGCATAAACATGTACCCAAAGATCTAAAATGAGAGAATATGGGAACCTTGCTGCCAGCTGGGTTACATAGTTACATAGCTGAAAAGAAACTTGCGTCCATCAAATTCAGCCTACCTCACATTTGTTTTTTGCTGTTGATCCAAAAGAAGGCAAAAAAAACCCAGTTTGAAGCACAATTTTGCAACAAGCTAGGAAAAAAATTCCTTCTTGACCCCAGAATGGCAGTCAGATTTATCCTTGGATCAAGCAGTTATTACCCTACATTGAAAGATTATATCCTTGAATATTCTATTCTTGCAAGTATGCATCTAGTAGCCGTTTGAACATCTGTATGGACTCTGATAAAACCACTTCTTCAGGCAGAGAATTCCACATCCTGATTGTTCTTACAGTAAAAAAACCTTTCCTTTGCCTTAGACGAAATCTTCTTTCTTCCAGTCTAAACGCATGGCCTCGTGTCCTATGTAAAGTCCGGTTTGTGAATAGATTTCCACACAATGATTTGTATTGGCCCCGAATATATTTGTATAATGTTATCATATCCCCTCTCAGGCGACGTTTTTCTAAACTAAATAGGTTTAAATTTGTTAACCTTTCTTCATAGCCGATATGTTCCATTCCTTTTATTAGTTTTGTAGCCCGCCTCTGCACTTTTTCTAGTGCCATAATATCCTTCTTTAGAACAGGTGCCCAAAATTGCACAGCATATTCAATATGGGGTCTTACCAGTGATTTATAAAGAGGCAAAATTATATTCTTGTCCTGAGAATGAATGCCCTTTTTCATGCATGACAATACCTTACTGGCCTTGGCCACTGCTGATTGACATTGCACATTGTTGCATAGTTTGTTGTCTATAACAATTCCCAAGTCCTTTTCATGTGTTGTTATCCCTAATTCGCTTCCATTAAGGGTATACGTTGCTTGTGTATTCTTTACGCCGAAGTGCATAACTTTGCATTTTTCAACATTAAATTTCATCTGCCATTTGAGTGCCCAGTCCCCCAGTCTATCTAAATCCCTCTGCAGCAAAGTAATATCTTGCTCACATTGTATTGTTTTACAAAGTTTGGTGTCATCTGCAAACACTGAAACATGACTTTCAATGCAGTCTTCAAGATCATTTATAAACATGTTAAATAGAAGGGGTCCCAGAACAGACCCCTGAGGGACACTACTTACCACCTCTGTCCAGCTTGAAAATTTACCATTAATGACAACTCTTTGTACTCTGTTTTAAAGCCAATGTTCTACCCAAGAACAAGCATTTTCATCTAGACCGATTTCCTTGATTTTGAAAACTAATCTATTGTATGGAACTGTATCAAATGCCTTGGCAAAATCCAAATAGATTACATCCACAGCAACACCCTGATCTATACTTCTACTTACTTCTTCGTAGAACGCAATCAAGTTAGTTTGACATGACCTGTGCTTCATAAAACCATGCTGATTTTTGCTGATAACCATGTTCTTCTCAAGGAATTCTTGAATATTATCCCTTAATAACCTTTCAAATATATTACCAGCCACAGAAGTTAAGCTCACAGGTCTATAATTTCCAGGCAAGGATTTTGAACCCTTTTTGAATATAGGAACCACATCTGCCTTCCTCCAATCCTCCGGAACACTTCCTGAAAGAAAAGAATCTTGAAAGATTAAAAACAGAGGTTCACTTATTTCTGCACTTAGTTCCTTAAGTACACGTGGATGGATACCGTCAGGCCCTGGAGCTTTGTTTATATTAACTTTCTTTAGTTGCTGCAGCACCTTGTCTTGAGTTAACCAATTACAATTATTCTGCAAGTTTTTAGTAACAATCATTTGCACATCTATTGCCATGGGTTCTTCCTTAATATATACGGAGGAGAAATAGTTATTTAAAATTCCTGCCTTTTCCTGGTCTTCATTAACTAACACCCCCGTTTCAGTTTTTAGTGTACCTACACTTTCGTTTTGTTTTTAGAATTTATGTACTTAAAAAATGCTTTGGGGTTGGTTTTGCTCTCTTCAGCTATCATTATTTCATTTTGAAGTTTAGCAAGTCTAATTGCCTTTTTGCACACATTATTTGCATCCTTATATCTTTTATAAGATGCATCTGATTTGTCCGATTTAAATGCTTTAAATGCCCTTTTCTTAGTTGTAATCTCTTGTTTTACTTCTCTACTAAGCCACATTGGTTTTAATTTGTTTATTTTATATTTATTTCCCAACGGTACATACTGAGAAATGTACCTTTTTAATATTTGTTGGAAGATTATCCATTTATCCTCAGTGTTCTTTTCACTAAAGAGTTTATGCCAGTCAATATATTGTAAAGCTTCCCTTAACTTATTGAAATTAGCCTTTTTAAAATTATATGTTTTAGTATTCCCCATGTGCTTTTGTTTTTTTGAGTTTATTTCAAAGGACACTATATTGTGATCACTATTTCCCAAGTGCTCACCTACTTGAATGTTGGTCAAAAGATCAACGTTGTTTGTTAAAACCAGGTCCAGACAAGCATCCATTCTAGTTGGTGCTTGTACAAGTTGTGACATGAAGGTGTCATTTAACAAGTTTAAAAACCTAATTCCCTTTGCTGAGGCACTAGTCCCTCTGTCCCAATTTATATCTGGGTAATTAAAATCTCCAATAATTAAAATGTTACCCAGATTTGCAGCTTTCTCAATTTGCTCAAACAGCTGTTGTTCCTCGACAATATTAACATTAGGTGGTTTATAACATATCCCAACCAATAGTTGGTTTCCCTTCTTTTCCCCCAAGCAGATATTTACCCATAAAGCTTCCACATTATCCTCCTCGCATTCCATTTGCTTAATATTTGGCTTTAAATCATGGTTGACATACAACATACCCCACCACCCTTCTTGTTTTTCCTATCCTTCCTAAATAACATGTACCCTTTTAAGTTAGCTGCCCAGTCATGTGTCTCATCCCACCATGTTTCAGTTATGCCTATTATATCATATTGTTTAGTGTATGCTAATGCCTCTAGTTCCCCCATTTTGTTATTTAGGCTCTTTGCATTAGTAAGCATACATTTAATATTATGCGTCACTTGTATATTTTGTGAATTTTCACCATTACACAGCTTCTCTGTTCTGAGCTTGCCCCTCCCCCCGTTTCCACCCCCCTGTTCTGAGCTTGACCCTCCCCCCCACTACTGGTTTAAAATCGCCTCCAACCTTCTAGCCATCCTATCCCCCAGCACTGCAGACCCTCTCCCGTTTAGGTGCAATCCATCACCACTATAAAGGTTGTACCCAATCGCAAAGTCGGCCCAGTGCTCTAAAAACCCAAAACCCTTCTTCCTGCACCAAGACTTAAGCCACGCATTGACCTCCCTAATCTCCCACTGCCTTTCCACTGTAGCGCTTGGCACAGGTAATATCTCAGAGAATACCACCTTGGAGGTCCTTTTCTTAAGTTTGCTACCTAATTCCCTGAAATCATTCTTTAGGACCTTCCATCTTCCTCTTACTTTGTCATTGGTACCAACATGGACCATGACCGCTGGGTCATCCCCAGCCCCTCCCAATAATCCATCCACTCTGTCAGCAACATGCCGGACCCGAGCACCCGGGAGACAGCAAACTGTCCGGTTGAGCCGATCAGAGCGGCAGATTGCCCTATCTGCTCTCCTAATGATAGAGTCCCCTACCACCACAACCTGTCTTGCCTTCCTTACATTTTGATCCCCACCCGTACTAGGGGGGCTGTTAGCTCGGCTGTTAGAAGTAACAGCTTCCTCTAATACAGCTACTCCTGAGCTGATGCTCCCAACATCTTCCCTCAAACGGGCAAATCTGCTAGGTTGCACCAAATCAGGACTAGCTAGCCCTTTCCTCTTCCCTCCCCCCCTGCTTCCTCGCCCCACTGTCACCCAGCTACATGCCTGTTCCCCATCTGTCTTATCTCCTCCCTCTCCACTACCTGTCCCCACTAAACTCTGCTCAGTGAGCAGTAGACTCCTCTCAAGATTGTCAATCTCCCTCAAAGTTGCGATTTGCTTCTCGAGATCTCCAATCTCAGCTTCCAGAGAAGCCACTCGCACACAACCATCACAGAGGTATGGACACTGGACAATTACCTTGTTAGTTTAAACTCCTTGTTAGTTTCAACTCCTGGTTTTCTAACTCCTACTTGAAAGAGTCTACTTAATAGAGGCTGTTTTCAAATAATGTAAGCAAGCTCAGTGAGTTAGGGGTGTGCCTTTATGGGGATACAAATCCCACACAGGTGCAATTGATGAACACTCCCCCAATCAATCAAGCAGCAGCACAAAAAAAGGGGGGGAAACCAGAACACAGAAAAAAAAAAGTAAATTTAAAAAACAAAAATTCATTTTTTTTTTTCTAAACCTTACCAATTTTAAAGATTAAACAAAAATAAAATACAAACCACTCTCCACAGTATACAAACCACTCCAAGTAACTCCTGGTTTTCTAACTCCTACTTGAAAGAGTCTAATGAGTAATTTACCTGAGGGCCATGGGCGTCCGCATTAGGGAGCACTTGCCTCCCCCCCTGGAGTTTTCAACATGCCCCCTCCCCAAAGGCAATTTGAAGAAGGAGGGGCAAGGGGCCGTTTTTAGGTTGCCAGAGGGAGCACTGTGAGGCTCCCTTCCAAATCCCCAGCAATTTGATGCTCTGCCCCCGCATTCAGGTCCTGCCTCTTGTACAGATGCCTTGCCCATTACAAGCTCCGCCCCCACACTCACGCCCTGGTAAGAAAAGGACAGACTTTGCCTCCCAGTGCTCCCACAGCCTTCTGTGAGAGGTACATGATAGTGATTGTGTGTGTGTGCCTGATAGTGAGTGAGCTTGTGTTTGTGTGGGCCTCATAGTAAGTGAGCTTGTGTGTGTGTGTGTGTGCCTGATAGTAAGTTAGCTTGTGTGTGTGTGTGTGCCTGATAGTAAGTTAGCTTGTGTGTGTGTGTGTGCCTGATAGTAAGTGAGCTTGTGTGTGTGTGTCTGATAGTAAGTGAGCTTGTGTGTGTGTGTCTGATAGTAAGTGAGCTTGTGTGTGTGTGTGTGTGTGTGCCTGATAGTAAGTGAGCTTGTGTGTGTGTTTGTGTGCCTGATAGTAAGTGAGCTTGTGTGTGTGTGTCTGATAGTAAGTGAGCTTGTGTGTGTGTGCCTGATAGTGAGTGGGCTTGTGTGTGTACCTGATAGTGTGTGCGCCTGATAGTGCGTGAGTTGTGTGTGCGCATGATAGTGCGTGAGCTGTGTGTGTGCGCATGATAGTGTGAGAGCTTGTGTGTGTGTGTGTCAGAGAGCTTGTCTGTAGTGAACTTGTGTGTGTGTGTCAGAGAGCTTGTCTGTAGTGAACTTGTGTGTGTGAGTTTGTAGTGAGCATGTGTGTGTCACTGAGCTTGTTTGTCAGTGAGCTTATGTGTAAGCGATGTGTGTGTCAGCTAGCTTTTCTGTAGTGAGCATGTGTCTGTAGTGAGTATGTGTGTCAATGAGTTTGTCTGTAGTGAGCTTGTGTGTGTCAGTGAGCTTGTCTGTAGTGAGCATGTTCATGTGTGTCAATTAGCTTGTGTTTGTCATCTAGCTTTTCTGCAGTAAGCATGTGTATTTGTGTCTGTGAGCTTTTCTGTAGTGAGCATGTGTTTGTCAGTGAGTTTGTCTGTAGTGAGCATGTGTGTCGGCGAGCTTTTTTGTAGTGAGCATGTGTGTCCAGCGTGCTTTTTTGTAGTGAGCATATGTATTTGCCAGTGAGTTTGTAGTGACCATGTGTGTTTTAGTGAGCTTTTCTGTAGTAAGTTTGTGTGTCTGTGAGCTTGTCTGTAGTAAGTTTGTGTTTGTATAACAATGAATTTGTCTGTAGTAACCTTGTGTGAGTGTCAAAGTTTGTACTAAGTTTGTGTGTGTGTGTATCAGTAAACTTGTCTGTGTGTCAGTGAGATTATTTCAGGTTAATCCAGTGTGAATGTTCGCGGCGAGGTCCTGCCGCTGTTGGGTGCAGTCTCTCCGAGTAACCCGTGAGTGGTAGCATAGCACTTTAACTAAGGAATCTCTCCGGGGTCCCCAGCAACGGGTGGCTAGCATATTTGCTAGCATATTTGCCCTCCCACATACCCGCAGGGTACTCGGCGTGCAGATTACCATGTACCGGCTTCCTTTAGCCGATCTAACTGTTCTATACATCGACCCCTCTACTTACGTACAGGCCACATCGTGGTCATTTCCCTATTTCATGCTGCTTTCGATCAGACTTGTCCCTAATGGATTAAACCAGAAATGATCATACATGTCTTTCATCTGGTAGGTGGCCACGGTACTTGATAAGTAGAGATGTCCTCTGTATGTACATTTAGAAGTAAAGTGATTTATTTGATATGATGTTATAGGCTGGTCTCCAGAGATTTAATTCTGCTTATATTACCCGTCCCGCTTTAATGATTTTAACGGTTATTCGTCATTGTTGCTTACGCTGGGCTTTTAATCATATAAGCACTTATTTGGAAATCTATTTCAAAGTTCTTTGGTGGTTGTATCTGGCTACCTTGTTTATTATTAAGTTTTATGATACAGTCAATTTCATTCATAGTATGGCTATTCCATTCATTTAGGCTTGTTTGTTTCATATGCCGGGTAGTCAGTTTGTTTGGCTTACGTCGCCACCTTGTGGTTTTACAATATTGGTCGGTAACTTTTTTTTTAATGCATGACAAACTTAAATTTTTGCATATATATCATTCTTTGCTCTGTACCTTCATTTGGGGTATATTAGTTGTTTATTAGGTGCTGGTAAATCACTGTCGTAGCAGCAGGGGTTAATTCCGGTCAAACAATGCTGGTATAAAATCGTTCTCCATTAGGTCAGTTAAAGGTTATTATGAAAGTATTTCTCCTTATAGCTTATCGCGTACTTTACTTTGGTTTTTTAATATGTTATACAAGTTATTAATATACTCAGTTCAGTCTTGTGCATTGCTTATTACTAAGTACGCTGTTCAGTATTATTTAGATGACATTTAGATTTAAAAGATAATACTATTACTGACACTGCTTACAAACGGGCCTTATTGGTTAAACGCAACTACAGCATTATAAGAGTTCTGGTTATCGCCCTGCCAAATCTTCTTACCATTTTTCTACGTGTATGGTTAGTATCTACCCTTTTGCTTGGCGGGGCAATTTTCTATGGTTTCACCTGGGGGTTAGGTTGTAACTTAAATTTTTGACATGTTTTAGGTTCAAGTAAGGATTATTCTTTCCACTTCAGTATAAGTCATACAAGTCAATCATCAGGTACGTTAACTGTTTAAACCCAGGCAGGGTTATGAGTAGGTTTAGGCTCTCGCCAAGTTCGGTATGGTTCAATAGGCCTTTTCGCCTGTAAGTCGAGTGGTCCCGCAAGGCATACTATCAGCCCTTCCGTTCAGAGGTTCGTGCCCAATCGTCCCAATGCATAGTTATAGCCTTGCATCAGGTCATAGTTAGGGCCTCACCCGTCACGGCCATTCGATATTACATTATTTTACGTATCACCGAGAGACAAACACCCTGCCACCCACCTCAGTGACACAAAGTCCAGCTTCCAGCTATCGTTCCTGGACTATCCCTAAAATTACCTCATAATTCAAAAAAAGGAATATTCCTTTCGTGGCTACAGCCAGGAAATCTGAACGGTTTCGTTTGTTAAATACTACTTGTTAAATACTACTGAGGACAACGAAAGGCCTGGCCCTAGTTCAGAGTTCAATGTGCTGAGTTGCACGTCATGATGGCCTCCCTTGTGTCTTCAGTAGCAACTATTAATAATAGGTTGGATAATCTGGAGTCAAATAATATTCCAACAGTTCCAGAGCTCCCAGTGCCTGTTGCTCAGCCAGCACCTAACCCAGGAGGTAAAGATAACCCTCTACCAGCTAATAGAGCTACCAATATCATAAATCCTATTCACCTCAGTCTCTGAGACGTGACATTATAGAGGGGAAGGACATCAACTTGGCTTCACTACTAATAGCATCTCAAGACGTTGTTGAGAACAGGGCTTATACCTTTGAGGTAAATATATAACTATATAATGGATAAACTCCAAAAAAATATTGGTAGAAAATCCTTCAAAAGTTAAGACTTGAGATAGGATGTGGCAACCATAACCACTGTATCACTAGTAAAAGTAATAACCACCACCAAGGGTTAAAAAATAAAAACAAGTGTAAAGTGCTTATTGAAATAAATCAATAATCAATACCGGACTCAGTGGAAATAGTGGATTATAAATCAGTAAGAAAATCCTTAAGTAATCCTTTAATGTGTCAGCTAGTCAGATCTTAACCTCCTATGGAATCAGGTAGGTAGAATCCACTGGCTGCCAAGGGGTTAATCTAGTAGAGATTCTATAATCTATAGACTCAATACAAAATACTCCAGGGTAATAAATAATTAATAATGAATTAAGATAAAAATAATGGTATTATATTGTAAGAATTCCAAGGGATTAAAAGTTTGTCTAATATATGTGAAGCAGAGTACTATTGAAAAATGTATTGGTACGTATAAACTGTCTACAAAACACACAATACTATAAAAGACTAAAAATAAAAACAGTCCCAAATGAGAGAGATGGTATACCAGGTCAAGTAGACTGAGGGCCCAAAGATGTGGGTAACACTGTCTTGCCGACCGGACAGAGGTGAAGGAGGACCTCCTCGTGCTAGAATGACACTGTGTATTCGCCACGTGCGTTCCACTGCGGCTGCTGGATGCGTTCTCAGGAGCTTTATATCTTTGAGGATCTGTCAGTAGTAATGAAGTCTAGAGATCCTAGACTAAATAGGAAACTTAACATCCCAGAATTTGTCCTCGCATTCGGTCTGTACAAAGATGTGATCTGTACGGCTTTCCCCCTCCGTAGAGAAGAACTCGACATATACCTTCATAAAGTTGCTGAGTTAGCATATAAGTACGGGGACTATGCCTTTTACCATTATCATAAGTCGTTCGCTTCCAGATCTGCCGCATCGCTGTCCCAGTACAATACAATTACTGATTGGGCACAGTTAGACACGGAATTGTTTCTAATGCATTTTGCAGGCCTTAAAACCCCTTCCTGCGCTATATGCTCTTCTGCCGCTCATTCGGTCAATTTCTGTCCTGAAAATGTAGCGACCCCTTTTACCAGTAGCGCCAATACTGGTTACCAGTCCAACACTACCCAGAAGGAAGTGAGAAACAAATTAGGCAGGCCAATTGTTTTTCTGGGTAAAGCACAAGTCTGCAATAATTTCAATGCCGGGGGTTGTAGTTATAGTGCTTGTAGGCTTCTCCACATGTGCTCACTGTGTTTCAGAGCACATGCCAAAACAATGTGCCCCAACAGATTGTACCCTAATAAATCTTCCACTCCAATAAACATACCTAAGTTGCAACGCTACCTGTCTAATCATCCTTCTTTACATTTGGTGGAATTTCTCACGGCTGGTTTCACTAATGGGTTTCACACAGGGTTCGTGTCACTCCCCACAAGTATTTTGGAATGCCCCAACCTACAGTCAGCACTCACAGATCCAGACAGCATACAAGAACTCTTACAGAAAGAAATCACTAATGGTTTCATGATAGGTCCTTTCTCAACTCCTCCTTTCACTTCCTGGAGGACAAACCCCCGAGGAATCACCAGAGGGAAATTTAACAATAAAAAGAGACTGATTATTAACTTTTCTGCACCTCACTCATTCCGTACACCTAGCCTAAATGCACTGATCCCGTCAGAAGATTTTGCCCTTCAGTACACCAGAATTGACAATGCCATACAAGCAATCATTCATTCCGGGAAGGCTGCGTGGTTAAGTAAATCTGAAATAATTAACGCCTTTAAATTACTTCCCATTCATCAGTCACTCTGGCATCTGCATGGAGTTACGTGGCAAGACAACTACTATTTCGCTACCAAACTTACCTTCAGATCCAAAAGTAGCCCTCAGTTATTCGATATATTCGCCAAACTTTAACCTGGCTCCTACTGAACTTTTGCAGGTGTCCAGTAATCATAAACTACTTAGACAACTTCCTCACCATTGAACCACACCAATGCACGCCTCACAGCCTTAATCACATGCTCACTCTGTTCAAAGATTTAGGAGTCCCTGTAGCCCAGGACAAAACAGAAGGTCCCAACACGGAGATTACTTTCCTGGGAATTACGCTCAATTCTGTCTCTATGCAGGCCAGCCTGCCTCAAGAGAAAGTAGACAGGATTATTTCTTACATAAATATCTGCACGTCACAAGGCACTTGCACCAGGAAACAGCTACAGTCACTACTCAGTTCACTCAATTTTGCAATGAGAATAATTCCTCAGGGTAGGTCTTTCATTTCCAGAATCCTTTCACTGTTGCACGGTCTCCCCAACGACGACTCCACAACTCCCATAGTCGAGTCAGCTAGAGCTGATCTACAAATGTGGCAGCTGTTCCTATCATCTTGGAATGGCCGGTCGCTATTTATTCCACCCATTTCTGACGATTCCCCTGTAGTTTGGACTGATGTTTCAGGTGCCATAGGGTATGCAGCTATTTACGGTGATGAATGGCTGTACGACTCTTGGCCAGTTGAGACCACCTCGCTCAAAAATTTCAATACCACGTCAACTCTATTTGAAATTTACCCTATAGTAGCAGCTGCACACGTCTGGGGTAAAGAATGGTGTTGGCAGTCAATCAGATGCTTTTCTGATAACTTGTAATATAGTTAACAAAGGCCGCTCTCAGTCCCTCATGATTATGAACTTAATAAGGAGACTGACCTGGCTAGCGGCTAATCTTCAATTCTGTATAACCTGTATTCACGTCCCGGGTGTTCAAAATACCGCTGCTGATGCTCTCTCACGTTTGAATTTGCAGGAATTTTTCAGGTTTCATCCATCAGCGAACTCGCAACCCAGGGAACCTCCAAGTTTTACAGACCTAATTATGCTTTAAGTTCTCTATTAAAACATAGTAGGTCACTCGCACAGACAGGCTTGTCCCTTAATACAAGGAAAGCCTATTCCAGTGCGTACGAGTTGTTTCAAAAATGTGTTTGTGATTATTGTATAATAAATGTTTTTTCCGTTGAAACTGTCATTGCGTTTACAACTTTTTGCCACATCTCTCTTAATTTAGCCTACAACACTATCTTTTTGGGGTTTTTTTGAATATTTTTATTGTTGTCATGTCATATACTTATACATCAAACATATTTACGTTAAAGCATGTAGTCGCCTACGCAGAGGCGCGGGTATCTGTATACGAAAATAAATGCGGATGGTTGCCTGCGCAGAGGCGGGTATATCAGATCATTGAAACGTGCATAAACTTTGCGAGGATTTATATGTCTAGGCTAAAACAAACTTGTGACAGTAGCATTCTGATGTTGTGTTCCAACCTTTATTACAATATGAAAGGTATTTAATTGTATGTGTCTGGCTACTTGCTCAGTCACGGTGGCTGATGCTGAATTTCTCATCATGAACATACATCGTGTGTCGATCTGCGTGTAACAAATAAAATGATGAAATAAATCTTTGCCGAAGTAAGCACGCTGTTGTATTGACAGGTCTAACTTACTTAGGGCAAATAACAGTTTAGGTCTATCCTTACCGGAGCCTCATAGAAGTACAGTGTTGCAGGTAAGTAAGGGCAGTGATGTTGGTATGGCTACCTGAGAGAATACAAAATTAACTAGATCTCAGCCGAGGTTAATGTGCTGTTGTAGTAACACGTCAAACTTAAGTAAGGCAAATAACAGTTTAGGTCAATCCCTAACAAGCCCCCCCAAAAAAAAGAAGTGTGCAGTGTTGCAGTAAAGGGGCTTATAGAGGCAGTGATGTTTTGTAAGATTATCTAAGAGTATAATGAAAAAGCAAGGCCTTTCATATTGCTTACAGCTATTCCGGGTGAGGTAGTGTGTGCAATAATTTGTGACCTTAAACTTAAGCTCATATGAGCACCGCTGCATGAACAGCGTCTACACGACTAATATAGTATATTAAGCAGGCAACATAAGGCTGTAATAGGTCATAACTGTTTGTCCTAAATCAGCACCAAGTGAATTCTGACACAGGCATGCAATAATAATGAATGTGTAAAAAGTAAAAAACAACAATAAGGACTGTAACCATATGGAAGCAAGGCTGGTAAGAACTTGAGAGGATGCTGTATGGCAGTCTGAGGGAGCCCCAACATGTCTCAGCTACGGTGCAGTCCTCATGTCACCGAGCCTCCGTCCGTTCACCCCACATCGCCCCCCGCCCACCGGCCGGTCCTCCGCGGTGCCGTGGGCACTCAGGGGCAGAGATTGTCCACTGGACCCCACCACAAAGTCCGCAGCTCTCCCGCCCCCTGCACCTCCCTAGCACCTCGTTGTTTCCTATGGAGCAAGCACTCCCGTGTCTCTCCCAATGCCGGCCTCACACTTAAAGCTGGTACTCAGCCCTCTCGGCCACCGGTCCGCTGGCAGGGCAGCACACTCCCGCTTCACAGGGCTCACGGCAGCAGGGACATGGTTCTCTGGGGACCCCCCATACCCAGAGACTGGGGTACTCACTGCTCCGGTCAGCGTGTGGGCGATGCGCAGGTCCCGCCCAGTGCTCAGTATCGCCCTGGGCCTGCATGAGCCATCCATGCCAGTCCCCCATGTTAAATTTTACCGTGGTCCTCCGGGTATGTTAAGCTGTGTTGGAGCAGTTCCATAAAAATGCAGGTGATCTTTCCCATATCAGCTCCTGAGCTGTCTCGCCAAGGCTGACGGAGGGCCGTTTTTCAGGCAGTGAGCAGCCTCCATTTATTCGGGGTCTGTGTGCCTTCTCACTCGGGCTCTCCCTCCGTGTAAATGACAATTTCTGCTGGCTTGCTGCTTCACATACAGCTTTTGCCAGTGTAGGTGGCCATCGCGCACCCCACGCAGGAACTCCCACCGTGGCATGAGTCACTGCCATGTAGCCGGGATAACCCCCACCGGCCAGGGGGGGGGGCAGGGGTGCAAAGGAAACCATCTGTGCGGCATCTCTCCCGCTTAAATGTTTCGGGGCTGTGCCTCTCTGTGGCTTCACGCCGCGTGTTGTGACCGCGGTCGGGTGCTCTGCCGCGTGTAGGCCGGGCTCGCCCTCCATTGCCCGTCCGGCTTGTGATGTGCTTTGTGCCGGCGTCTGAGATGCACTGGGATTGCTCCCTGTTAATTGTTGTCGGGATATCCGACTTCTTAGCAGTCTGGAACGGCCTTTTGTGCCTTTTTGCTCAGGTTAATGCTGGAGCCCATGCATAATGCTTCTGTTCGGCCCGGCGGCCCGGCCCCGCCCCCCAGCCTACAACACTATCAGACTCTACTTAACAGGTATACAGCACTACATGTTGACCAGCTATCCCAACAAAACTCCATTCCTAGCGTCCTACCCAGTTAAGTGTCCTCAAGGGTGTTCACAGATTATCAGTACACAATCCCATTAAGAGACTTCCCATAGACAGTATGCTCTTCAAGAGTATCTCGACACGTTCCCTTTTGAACACACCACAAACCTAATTATCAAGTCCGCAGATTACTTAGCCTTCTATGGTTTCTTGAGACCCAAAGAATTTTCAGTGGCGAAAGCATCCGACACCAAGTCATGCCTCCAGAAGAAACACCTAATTAAAAAACAGGACCACTACATCTTATCTATTACTCATATCAAAACAAGCCAAACAGGTCCTCCGGTAGAAATTAAATACTATCCTACCTCTACCAAATGGTGTCCTATCCTAGTTTTAGATAAACCTGTGGTGTCCCAAGTCACTTCCAACCCTGACTGCCCACTGTTAGCTATTCAAGGGAAACCCCTAACCACTAAACAATTTATGCTTTACATTCGTACATTATTACTCCGGCTAGGACATAACCCACACGCCTTCTCAGGCCATTCCTTCCGCATTGGAGCAGCCACAGCTGCCTCAGGTAATCACGTACCAACTCACATCATTAAAAATATGGGTAGGTGGAAATCATCCGCATACAACAGATACATTCCCGACCCTGAGAAAGAGATAAGAATGGCTTTCCGTGACATGTCTAAATAATGTATTGCTTAATGAACTTACAGTTGCAAGAAAAAGTATGTGAACCCGCTGGAATTACATGGATTTCTGCACAAATTGGTCATAAAATGTGATCTGATCATCATCAAAGTCACAACAATAGACAATCACAGTCTGCTTAAACTAATAACTCACAAAGAATGAAATGTTGCCATGTTTTTATTGAACATACCATGTAAACATTCACAGTGCAGGTGGAAAAAGTATGTGAATCCCTAGACTAATGACATCTCCAAGAGCTAATTGGAGTGAGATGTCAGCCAACTGGAGTCCAATCAATGAGATGAGATTGGAGGTGTTGGTTAAAGCTGCCCTGCCCTACAAAAACACACACCAGTTCTGGGTTTGCTTTTCCCAAGAAGCATTGCCTGATGTGAATGATGCCTCGCACAAACGAGCTCTCAGAAGACCTACGATTAAGAATTGTTGACTTGCATAAAACTGGAAAGGGTTATAAAAGTATCTCCTTGCTGTTCATCACTCCACGGTAAGACAAATTGTCTATAAATGGAGAAGGTTCAGCACTGCTGCTACTCTCCCTAGGAGTGGCCATCCTGTAAAGATGACTGCAAGAGCACAGCGCAGACTGCTCAATGAGGTGAAGAAGAATCCTAGAGTGTCAGCTAAAGACTTACAAAAGTCACTGGCAAATGCTAACATCCCTGCATGTTTACAGCTTGCACAAGAGCACCTGGATGTTCCACAGCAGTACTGGCAAAATATTCTGTGGACAGATGAAACCAAAGTTGAGTTGTTTGTAAGAAACACACAACACTATGTGTGGTGAAAAAAAGGCACAGCACACCAACATCAAAACCTCATCCCAACTGTGAAGTATGGTGGTGGGGGCATCATGGTTTGGGGCTGCTTTGCTGCGTCAGGGCCTGAACGGATTGCTATCATCAAAGGAAAAATGAATTCCCTAGTTTATCAAGACATTTTGCAGGAGAACTTAAGGCCATCTGTCTACCAGCTGAAGCTCAACAGAAGATGGGTGTTGCAACAGGACAATGACCCAAAGCATAGAAGTAAATCAACAACAGAATGGCTTAAACAGAAGAAAACACGCCTTCTGAAGTGGCACAGTCAGAGTCCTGACCTCAACCCGATTGAGATGCTGTGGCATGACCTCAAGAAAGCGATTCACACCAGACATCCCAAGAATATTGCTGACCTGAAACAGTTCTGTAAAGAGGAATGGTCAAGAATTACTCCTGACCGTTGTGCAAGTCTGATCTGCAACTACAGGAAACGTTTGGTTAAAGTTATTGCTGCCAAAGGAGGTTCAACCAGTTATTAAATCCAAGGGTTCACATACTTTTTCCAATGGCACTGTGAATGTTTACATGGTGTGTTCAATAAAAACATGGCAACATTTCATTCTTTGTGTGTTATTAGTTTGAGCAGACTGTGATTGTCTATTGTTGTGACTTAGATGATGATCAGATCACATTTTATGACCAATTTGTGCAGAAATCCATATCATTCCACAGGGTTCACATACTTTTTCTTGCAACTGTATATGAATTTTGAGAAATCACTTCTTATATTTTTTGCCCTCTTTTACAGGTCTAACCTCACGTCAGTTTCGGCACACCTCAACTGACTTTGCTCTTACTAGTACTGCTTCTTTTTATTATTGTTTCCTTACGTGCTCGAAATGTGCCGCACGCACGCACGCACGCACACACACACACACACACACACACACACACACACACACACACATATATCTGTATATTTTGCATCTTGTATTTATCCTGTGAAGAATATTTGATTTGAATATTTAACTCCAAAGGATAATAGTGGAGTCTCACTGCAATTTTATTTGCTTTGAAACCACTCAATAAATTATTCTCCTTGTAAAGTGGAATACTGTATATCTATTGCACCCTCTACTGGTTACAGTAGGGGTGCAATAGCCTACATGTGCACACAATTCTAGTTTGTATTTAATAAATATACAGACATGGAAAGAACCTTGAATAAAAAAATCCTAGTACAATAGAACAGTCCGTAGTCTGTTTTATATGTTTCTGCTGAGTGTGGGTTCAAGTAAACAACATTTCAAGAATCAATAACCAAAATTAGGCGATGCATTTAAACATCACATGTTCTTTCATATGTTTACAAAAGGGTTGACTCTGGTGTTAATTTCAACAACATCACGACCGCAGAGGTACTAGGTACGTCCTCCAAAAAACGGTTGTTTAACAACCGCGGACGTACTAGGCAAATATGAGCCCTGGACTCACCGGGACCGACGATCCACAGTTGTGGCGAAACCGACCTCGCCACTGGGCATTGGAGAAGACTGATTGCCGGCCTCCTGTCATGTGACTATGGCCCCTGGGCTGTATTGCGCTTTAGAGACATGATTTGGGCATAATGGATTTGTGTTGTGCTGCTGCTGGCCCTTTAAGAACCATCTGGGGACATACTGTGGAGTTACTGGGTGGCCACCATTTCCTGTATCACAGGCACATGGTGAGAACAATGGATGAAGCACATTGTGAGAACAATGGATGGTGGCCATTTTAACTCACAGACACTTTTTGGACTTTTCAACACGGTGCCATCTCGCCGGTATTTGGTGCACACAGACATCGTGCAGTGGTTTTGGACTATACAACAGGGGACACATTATACAGTAACTGTTTTTCATTTAGCCTGCATATGTTCTGTGGAATCTGCATTAAACTGTATCTTCCAAAGTACTGAACAGATCTGGATGAATTTTGGATATGTGGTTCACTCAGATCCCCCGGTTCCAAGTACTTTATGGGGTTATTGCATGTTTTGGGGTCCCTGTGATGTGTTTTATAATACTGTATTTCTCTGCCTGTGATAATTAGATTAACCATTGTGTTCAGTAATCATATCACAGGCAGAGGGGAGGATTGTGTATTGTACGGATTGATTGGCTGTGTTTCAAAACCCTGTGGGCAGTGCTATAATTGTGGATTGTGAATGAAAGAGGCTGTATGTGCCAGTCCAGTCAGTTCTACTTCACCCTCAATCTGAGTCCTGTCTCTTATTGGGGGAATCTGCTACAAGGGATTGCTATGCTCTGCATATTCCCTTGCTATAATCACTGAGCTCTTGTAAGAGCTTGTTCCTGCTTCACTCTCTTGGAGGAGAGGTTCACCCACTGGAACCTGGAGCCTTGTCGTAGGTCCAGGGTGGGTAGGAGACGGCGAGACCCCAACCAAGCTGCGGCGGTTCGTGGGGTCTACGGTGGTTGTGGTGTCTGGCGAGCACTTGGAGCCCTCTGTAAGCGCTAGGAGCATTCTTCAACGGAGGTACTCAGTCGGGGTGCCAGGTGATCTGTTACAACAGTCATCCCAGTCGGGGGGGACTGCCCGAGACCCCAGCAGCCCCCCTGCAGCAGCTCCGGCTACTCAGGCCCGTCAGGGCCATGTGATCACCATGATCATATGGCTGCAATAGGAGTCTAGGGAGTTGCCAGCAGGGGGACTGTCTGAGCTCTCAGGCAGTCCCTTTGACACCTAAATGTAAAAAAAAGGTAAAATAATCAAATAAATATATTATATATGTATAATATATTATAAAATAATTAAAGCATTTTATAATATATTTTACATCTATAATGCCGATATATGATTGCATTTAACTATTAAATACATAATTATTTGATTTTATTAATTATAATTTGAGGGATCTGCCTGACAACCCAGGCAGACATTCCAGAGAATTGAATTGGCAAGCAAAATGCAAATCAACGCTAACTTTGGCAAGCGTTTGTGGCTAAGTGGCTACTACAAAAGACTGGAAATACCCCATTTTCCATACCCTTGGTTGTCTACTTTTTCAAATGTTATGTCATGGTGGGGTTAATTTTCACTTCTGGCTGCCATACCGTCTCAAATGCAACATGTTTGACCCTGTAACTTTCCAAATCACCATAAAACCTATACTTGAGGGGTACTGTTGTACTTGTGAGACATTACTCTACACAAATATGAGTGTTTTAGAGCAGTAAAATGTATTATACTGATAATATCATCGGTGAAATTGCCATTTATGTGTAAAAACATGCAAAAAATATATATATATATATATATATAAACGCTAATTGTGGCCAGGGTTTGTGACTCTAGTGGCTACTAAAAAAAGAGTGGACAGACCTCATTTTGAATACCGTGGGTTGTCTACTTTAAAAACAATATATGGTTTGATGGGGGTAAATTACATTGGCCGGCTTAAAAAATTTCCCAAATAGGACATGGCTGCATGATGACCATCTGTGAAAATTCCAAGTTGGAAAACTGGAAAGCGCAACCTCCAAATAAGGTATTTTAGCCCCCAGAGAACCCGACACACCTATACATGGGTGGTATCACTGTACTCAGGAGATGTTGCTGAACACATATTGGGGTGTTCTTTGGCAGTAACCCCTAAAGTTCTCAGTACATGTATTCTTAAATTGCTATGTGTGTCAAAAAAAAATCACCAATTATTATTATTATTTTTTTAATTTGGCATAGATTGGTGGTAAAATGGTTGCATGAAAAGAGTCAAAATACCCCAAGTTTACTACCTTAGGTTGTCTTCTTTTAAAAAAATATTTACATGTGAAGGGTTATCCAGGGATTCCTGACAGATATCAGTGTTACAATGTAACTTTTGTTAATTATGGGGAAAAAAATGGTTTGGAAATAGCAAAGTGCTACTTGTACTTATTACTCTATGACTTGCAAAAAAAAAAACTAAGAACATGTTAACATTTCTAAACTCAGGACAACATTTAGAAACAATTTAGCACGGGTGTGTTTTGGCGGTTGTAGATGTGTAACAGATTTTGGGGGGTCACCGTTAGATCATATTTTAAAGGGACACTCCAGGCACCCAGACCACTTCTGCCCATTGGAGTGGTCTGAATGCCAACTCCCACTACTCTTAACCCTGCAACTGTAATTATTGCAGTTTTTTTTATAAACTGCAATAATTACATTGCAGGGTTAACTCCACCTCTAGTGGCGCGTGCCCATTAGGTTTCCTCAGCTGGCGGGCTGGATCAGTCTCGCCCACCGGCTGACGTGATTACTGGGAGGAGCGGCGCCAACCCAAAACCACCGCCGACGGACATCGGCGGGGTTTCAGGTAAGTGACCTGAAGGGGTTTTCACCCCTTCAGCTACCTGGGATGGGAGGTGGGAGGGAGAGGGTACCTGCAGTGCCAGGAAAACGTATTATTGTTTTCCTGGCACTCGAGTTTTCCTTTAAAGTTTTTTTTTATAGTGAATTATATGATATGATGAAAATAATGGTATTAAAATTAAAGACACAAACACCGCAGAAATGTAAAAACAGCCCTGGTCCTTTTTGGTAAGAAAATGTTAAAATGAGACTAAAACTAAAACAATTCCGTTGACTAAAATTCGACTAAAAGTAAAATTACTTTTTAGTCAAAAGACTATGACTAAAACTAAATTGAAATTTCCCGCCAAAACTAACACTGGTTGACTGGTAGATGGAAATAAATGTGGACATTTCTAATATCTTCTATTTAAACACTCGCATTCAAATGCATATTTTATACGTAAATGTCCAGCTGTGTAAATGCAACGATACAGATTGCAGAGTAGTCAATAAAGGCATTTTATTATACGATAATGCTCACATGAAATAAAACTCCAATATACATGGGGATGAATTACTCATCATCCAAATCAGAGATTCTGAACTTGTCCAGACCAATTCTACCTGGGACAAGATCGGTAGCAGTTTAGTTTAAAGGGGTGGTGTTTGATGGGAGATGTTCATCCAGGACACACAATCCAGCTGGCAAGCAGTCTTATCATCCAGGTGATGTTCCAGGTAATTTGAAGATTCACATTGCAGCTTTTTAGTTATATAATGTCATCATCCTCCTCATCTTGTCTGTTCCTGATTAACGAAAACGAAAGAAAATAGTTAGTGGCAAACACTAATCTTCTTCCTAGATTAAAACTTAGATCCTAACATTTGCATTAAAATATGGTCCACCGTGAAAGTCACATCATCAGATACAAAGGAACTTCAAGTCTTTCTTTATAATATCCAAAGTTTTCACAGCACTGTCCCTGTTAAATTCAGTTCTGTATTTAATTTTGTCATACCTCGCAAGCACATATTTGTTAAATATAGGAAATAAGTAAACATAATAGTAAAATGCCTGGGAGGTGACGGTTCCATTTGAAGTGCTCAGGTCAGCACAGATTGAGATATCTCTGTCTCTGGGTAACTGAACGGTAGAAATGCTACTACTAGAGCCTTACCTGGCTTTGCTGGTAACGATGCCCAGGCACATTCGATAGAGGCACAGTTTCTGAACCACATAGCTCTAGAAGATTATATTCTAGATAGTTTTGTTCCAGTCCCTACCATCAGTTTGTCCTAAGGTTATAAAAAAAATGACAAAAAAATTAAAAACCCATGTCTCATAAAATAAATTTTACAAATGAGATGCTAGCTATCCATTGAGTATTCTGCATGCTCTGTAGTCAGACTTATCATTGTAATATTGTACCTGTTTGTAAGTATGTGTCCGTAATGTGGTGAAACAGTAAGCAGGTTAGCATTTTCCTTGTGCTCCTTGAAGGGAAACGAAAGATATTAGTGCAGGATAAAATAAAAATAAAACAAAGACAGTATAACAAGAGAACACACAAAAACAAAAGATAAATTAAACAAAAAAAAATGCTTGAAATTCACCATGAGCATCACATAAAATGTTCTGCCCTTGGAAACACTTGTCAAACCGGATGTTAAGCCGAGCCGCACTTTTCATGTATATGCTTTATTAATCCCTTAACCCCTTAAGGACGGAGCCAAATGTACACATTGTGAACAAAACAAAATGTAAACAAAACCTGGCATTTGCGCTACATGTCTGTCCAACCGTAATACACCTCTTTCATAGTAAATGCACCCACCCTTATTATATATCATTTTATTCAGGGGAAACAGGGCTTTCATTTAATATCAAATATTTAGCTATGAAACATAATTTAATATGAAAAAAATGGGAGAAAATAAGTTTTTTTTGGATTTTTTTAGTTCTACATGACATTTTAACGGTCAGTGTCATAATACTGTTTGCTTTTACTGCAATAAAATACACATATTTATATTCAGTAAAGTCTCACGTGTAAGACAGTACCCCCTATGTACAGGTTTTATGGCGTTTTGGGAAGTTACAGGGTCAAATATAGCACGTTACATTTGAAATTGAAATTGCCAGATTGGTTACGTTGCCTTTGAGACTGTATAGTAGCCCGGGAATGAAATTTACACCCATAATGGCATACCATTTGCAATAGTAGACAACCCAAGGTATTGCAAATGGGGTATGTCCAGTCTTTTTTAGTAGCCATTTGGTCACAAACACTGGCCAAAGTTAGCGTTAGTATTTGTTTGTGTGTGAAAAATGCAAAAAACGCCAATTTTGGCCAGTGTTTGTGACTAAGTGGCTACTAAAAAAGACTGGACATACCCTGTTTGCAATACCTTGGGTTGTCTACTATTGCAAATGGTATGCCATCATAGGGGTAATTTTCATTCTTGGGCTACCATAGGGTCTCAAAGGCAACGTAACCAATCTGGCGAATTTTAATGTGAAAAAAATGAAACGCAAGCCTTATATTTGACGCTGTAACTTTTGAAAACACCATAAAACCTGTACATGAGGGGTACTGTTGTACTCGGGAGACTTCGCTGAACACAAATATTTGTGTTTCAAAACAGTAAAAAGTATCACAGCAATAATATTGTCCGTGTAATGCTGTTTGTGCGTGAAAAATGCAAAAAACGTCACTTTTACTGGCAATATCATCGTTGTAATACATTTTACTGTTTTGAAACACTAATATTTGTGTTCAGCGAAGTCTCCCGAGTAGAACAGTACCCCCCATGTACAGGTTTTATGGTGTCTGGAAAGTTATAGGGTTAAATATAGTGCTAGCAAATTAAATTCCCTTTACTTTCGGCATGGGTTGTCAGGCAGGTCCGCTAATTGTAATTAATTAAGATACCTAATTATGTAAAAATATTACATAAATATATATGTAGAATTAATATATGTATATATATACGTATGTGTATATATATGTATATATCTATATAATTTTTTTTAAATATTTTTATTTATATATAGGTATATATATATAGTGATATATACGTATATATTTATGTATATAGATATATATATTATTTCGTTCTACGTGTATTTTGATATATATATATATATTAATTTCACAAAACAGTTAGAATGAAATAACACACATCTATATATTTTTTAATTATTTATTTTTAATTATTTTTTTAATTTTATTTTTTAACGTATTTACATTTTTATTTTTTTTATATTATATATAAATATATATATAACAATAATTATATATATATTTAATCAGTATCAGTCTACGTGTAATTTGATATTAATATATATATATAATTATATATATATTAATAGTAAAATACACCTAGACGGTGTATGTGTGTGTATGTATATGTGTATATATATACTTAGATCATATATATATGATATATACATATGATCTAAGTATATATTATTATTTTTTTACACCAATAAATGTAATTTTAATTTTATTTTCAGCCAGCAGGGGGACCACCTGTCATTACAGGCAGCCCCCCTGCTGGCAATGCAGGAGGCAGCCTACCCGGCCATGTGATTGTGGGGTCCTCGCTAGCGATTGCCGGCGTGGGACCGCTGGCGACCGGGTAAGTTAACAAAAACCGGAGGGCGTACAATTACGCCCGGCGGCGTTTAGAGCCGCCTATTAGAGGGCGTAATTGTACGTCCTCCGGTTTTAAGGGGTTAACATGTAAGACCACTGAGAATAGTATTTCAGTAGTCCAGGCAAGAGAGAACAAGAGCATGGACCAGCGACTTAGCCGCATCCGGGGTTAAATAAGGGCGAATGCGCGCTATGTTTTTGAGATGGAAGCAACAAGATTTGGCGATTGGTTGGACATCAGGGGTGAAGGACAGGTTGGAGTAAAAAAGAACACCCAGGCAGCGAGCCTGCGAGGTAGAGGTGATGGTAGCGCCGTTGACTTGGAGGGAGACAGACACGGGAGTAGTGACACTTGAGGGAGGAAAGACCAGAAGTTCTGTTTTGGACAGATTGAGTTTAAGGAAGTGAGCAGCCATCCATTTTGAAATCAAAGAGAGGCAGTCAGAGACACGAGTTAGTATGGGCAGAGAGAGATCAGGAGAGGACAGGTAGATTTGTGTGTCATCTGCATAGAAATGATAACAGAAGCCAAAGGACCTGATGAGTTTACCAAGGGAGGCAGTGTAGATAGAGAACAGTAGGGGACGCCAACAGAGAGTGGTTCGGGGGAAGAGTCAGAGTCAGAGAAAGAAACACTGAAAGAGCACTGGGAGAGGTAGGAGGAGCACCAGGAGAGAGCAGTATCCCGTAGACCAAAATTAAAGAGAATGCGAAGAAGCTGTTGATGATCAACAGTGTCAAAGGCAGCAGAAAATTCAAGGAGAATTAGGATAGAGTAATGGCCACGAGATTTAGCAGAAATTAAATCGTTGTATACTTTGGTCACAGCCATTTTGACAGAATGACCAGCACGGAATCCAGACTGAAGGGGGTCAAGCAGAGAGTTGGTTTCTAGAAAGTCAGTCAATCTGGTGTACACAACTCTCTCGAGGATCTTGGAGGCAAATGGCAGTAGCGAGATAGGGCGGTAGTTGGATGGGGAGTTGGGGCCAAGGCTTTTCAGAATTGGGGTTACAGTTGCATGTTTGAAGGGTGAGGGAAATGTGCCAAAGGTAAGGGAGAGATTGAAAATTTTTGTGAGAGGAAGAACAAGAGAGGGAGACAAAGTGCGGATGAGATATGAAGGAATAGGATCGAGGGAACAGGTGGTGGGGCGGAAGGACCGGAGCAAAGCAGAAACCTCTTCTGCTGTAGCAGGTGCGAATGAGTGTAGAATGGTGGAGGGAGTGGGGTTGTTTGATTGGTAGGGGAAGGAGAGAAATTAGCGATCTTTTCTCCGATTGTAGAGATCTCAGTGAAGTGAGCTGCAAAGTTTGCGGCGGACAAGGTGGTAGAAGAAGGGGGGGTAAAAGGGCGAAGAAGAGCACCAAAAGTGTGAAATAGGTGTTTGGGTTGATGGGACAGTGTACTTATGAGGGTGTTAAAGTAATTTACTTTTGCAGCGGAAAGAGCTGTAGGAGCGCAGCATAAATGTATAGTGGAGGAAGTCAAATGCAAAGTGAGATATTTCTAAAATATTTATTTAGCTAGGGTGGATAGACGTTAGTGGGGAAATAGGAGGATTTACCATCAGGCTAGTTAGGGGTTAACAGTAAAAAAAAAAAAAAATTCAAGTAAAAAAAAAAAATTTGAAAAGTTTCACCAAAGTTTTAAAATAGTAACAAAGGTTATTAAAAGCTTTAAAAAAAACTTTTAAAAAGTTAAGAAAATTGTAAAAAAAATGCACATTACTTCTACACTTGGTACAGGCTAGCGAAAAATATCACGCTAAGGTTTAAAATATGCCTTTTGGAACACCTTCTTCTTTAGGAAATGGTATGCCTTTGTGAAGTAATTGCAAACTACAGCCTATTTTAAAAATTCCAAAATGGGGCATGGACCCAGCGTAAAAATTCAAACTTAAATGGTTGTGTCTTAAATGTGCCCCTTTAACGTTGTCATACACCTGGTAAAAGTACATACGGGGGTATTGCTGTACTCAGATGACATAGCTGAGCAACATATGATGCATTATACTGCTGTAGCACACATACGGTTTGCTAAATATATATTACAAATTCATTGTGTGTGTCAAAAAGGCATAACAAATTATTATTACCACTACACTTGGTATTAGCTAGTGG